CTTTTTACAAATATCCTATCAACTAAACGTTATTTTGATTTAGGCTTAGACAAGGCCATCTCTTAGTGTGCCCTTTAGAGTGGAAAGGAAAAAACCCTGAAAATGCTTATGGAAAGGTTATGTGTAAGAGAAAATCGAGTAATGGCATATCGTTTATCTCTCACCTTCCGAAGTTTCGCCCTACCACACAGTGCCATGTGGGCCCATATTTCTTGTCGAACTCCTTCTTCAGATAAGCTGCGATATCCTTCTCAATATTGAACTTTTCTAGGCCCTCTTGGCACAGATTTACCGCGTCCTCCTGCATTTCGTCGGACATATCAGCATTCTTGACCACTGCTTTTCTGGCATCCTCAGTCATTGCTAACTCACAGGCCTGTCTGCTTGACTCGCAAGAGCTCAGAATTGCCAAAGTTTATATTGAGAATCTGTCTTTATTTGGTGTTGACAGTCTTCGGTTGGTTTAACTAATGTCCGCATGTGCTGCGTCAGCATCGATCTTTCCACCAATCAATGCGTCACTCGGATCAGCGCAGTGTGCAGAAGGAGCAATCCTACTGCCTCTTTCACCTCATCTACTGCAAAAGGTATGCTTTGGCCATGGCGACAGGTAGAGTGAGCTACCCGCAACAAAGCAGGAACAAGTAGCCTCAAGAGTCAGATGCAAAAACCACAAAAAAATGATTATAGGCCAACTCATGCACGAGTAATCGCACTTTTACAACCAGGATGCGATCCAAGCCTCTTCGTTCATGTTAGGCCCAAGTGGCTTGTTAATTGTGATATAATACACGAACTCGATGAAAAAATCTCATTTAGTATTCGACTTATCGACTGATATCCATCATTATTCTCCATTCTTCCTTGTTATTGTGTCTGAAAAACTTTTTCTTGTTTATTTCCCAAATCATGTTTCTCGTTTCTATCTTTTGCACTATTGCAAATGTGCCTGGACGCATATGCACCTCTCCTGCCAGTCTATCTCTCTCCTTTTCTTTCTATGTATTTTTGCATTTATATAAACCTATATGTCTCTTTGTCGACCTGTATGTATGTATAGATGTATATTTGCACGTATTTCCTTCTCTACACATTTTCAGTTTTGCATCTAC